AAGGAAGGAAGGAAGGAAGGAAGGAAGGAAGGAAGGAAGGAAGGAAGGAAGGAAGGAAGGAAGGAAGGAAGGAAAATTCAGCCTAGATTGCTGAAATGCAGGCTAGTTATTGTATTGCCCTTAGACTTAAATGTTGAACTTCCCTGGCCTAAAGCACAATTTCTGGAATAAGAAAGAACTTTTCCCCTCTAGAATGATGAAGTGATTGCTCGTATTTTATGCATTCGTGGAATACTTTCCATGGCCAAGCAACTAAACATGTTTCTAATAGATTCATTCCAAAATCCTAGGATACAACAACCTCATTTGTACTGGCTATATGATTGCCACAAGAGATAACCTGAAGAAGTTTAACTCCTACACAGTTGCACCGATTGTGTCATTTTATGATAGAAGAATAGCTACGGCACACACTTGTTTAATCTCAGCGAGGAATTGATGCTGGTACAGTTTTTCCTACACAGGATTGGGGGCAGGGAGGTGAAGGGAGAGGTGAACATGTCATTGTGTAAGTCAACACCTCCATATCACATGCATACAAATACCTACTTTACTCGGCATGCATTGTTTTTACATCATCACATGATTAACCTCTGCTTTGCAATTGTGTGAAAATGCATATATGAATTCACAATCTTGTTTGTATGAACTTAGGTCATTTTGTCTTCAGCTGATGAGTCAGGATGCAAAGCACTCCCAACAATAACACCACCACCATCCTCTCTTTTTTCAGTTTTATTTTACATCAGTCTCAGAGAGAGGAGGTGGGTGGAATTGGTAACTAAAGGCAAGATGCAATCGAGGCTACAAAGCTAGACATAACTTTTCCCATCCTCCTAGAAGTTGCACCTGCTCAAATTTGCTGATCTGAGAACACTGAGGGGACATCCATCCCAATGCACAATAAGCACTGAATAATGCATTTATGCAGAATAAATGTATCTATGCTTATTTAAATATAAGGAAACAGTTTCTGATGGTAAGGTTTATACAACAGTGGGACAGTCTCCCTATGGAGGTTGTGGGTGCTCCATCTCTGGAGGCTTTTTAAGAAGATACAGCACAGCCACCTCTAAATTGGTTTTCCTGCACGTTGCAGAGGGTTGAACAGGATAATCCTCACAGTCCCTTCCAACTCTGCATGTCTAAGATTCTATGAAATAATGCCTGACTTCATCTGAGATGTGACTGTACCATTTCAAATGCCAGGTGTGTGAAAAGTTGAGGGTGTGGAGAACTACTGCTTGTTTTTACAGTTGCCTAAAATTTGGCCTCAGGTTAGGGCTGTCTCACCAACCTTGTTTCCCTTGGTCTATGCTCACAGGTGGATTTTGCATTCCCCTTTACATCCCATATATTCTGACGGGTGAATGGAAATTTGGAAAAGGCCTGTGTAAGCTCTGGTTGGTCGTAGATTACTTAGTCTGCACAGCCTCCGGATTCAACATTGTCTTGATCAGTTTTGACCGATTCATCTCAGTTACAAAGGCGGTAAGGAACATTGCTTTCTGTTGGCTTTTGATACCTCCAGCCACTGGGCTCTTCTCAGAATTCAAGAGCCACCCATGCACTCAGTAGGAAAAGAGGAGCCCCCCCACATACAACATGTTCTCTTCTGGAGTCCTGATCAGTATTCAACCTCCCATTGGCTGAATTCAGTGCCCATCTAACCACATTGCATGACAGCTTGGCAGCTCCATTTGCAGGGCACGTTAAACTTGGTTGGTGTTGATTTTGGTGAATGTGTTGCCTGAACCCAGCCACTGCAGTTGGCTCATGATTCCATGTTTTCGCAAACCCAGAAAATGGGATCATTCAGTAATCAGGCCCTTTGTGTTGTGTGAGCACAGAGTTTATATAAAACTTCAAATTGGTCACTCCACATCCATGGCATTTCAGGATGTTCACGTCAGTAGCAACACTTGATGCCAATAGCTAATAGCTTAATGCTAATACCAGTAGAGGAATCATTCTTTCCTCCCCTCTCTAAGCTTTCATACTTGGATGTTCCTTTAAAAATCTGGCCAGCCCTGCGGTTGAGCAACATGGTGATCTGTGCCTTTGGGACAAGGCCATCCTCCTGAGTCTTCCCACCCACTCTGTGCCCCCCAACCGACCGCTTCTGTCAAAGAAAGTGGACAATGTTCTCCCGTTGCCAGGGATGAAATGTTGGTATGCCTCTGTATGTGAAAGGGGAATAACCTTGTACCCTTCACTTCCAGCACTTCCTGAACCACCCCAAAAATGAAACCAACGTTTTAGTGAAGTGACTCACTTGCATTACCACTTTCCTTTTCCCAGATCGTGTTAAGAAAGTGCTTTTATTTGTTTCCTTCTCCAACCTTTTGGCTGTGCCACTTTAATCACACTTTGCTAAATATGCATTTGAGTAGGCGCTACTCTAGGATGGTAGGTATGAGACTCTGGCATGTTGATTTTTCTTCCAGAAATGCACACCTTCCCCCTGCCAGCACAATGCACACACACATGGATACATGCCCGCCTAGACGTGTTTTTGCATGCAAAAACCAAGATGTGACATGCCCATGCTCTATCCACACGATACAAAGCCACGCGTGTTGTATTCATCTGTGCAACTGACCAACTGCAGCTAAATAAGTCAAACTGATATGAAATTTAATGCACACGCCACTGATTGTGCTTGCGCAAAGCCCTGGTTAGCTCAACTGTGACTTTCTAGATATTTAGAAAACACCACAGTGAACTACAAGCAGCCACCCATGTTTCTGCCTAGCAGATTGAAGGGACTTGTTCGTTCCCCCCACATTTTCTTGCTCGTTCTTTTTCTGACAACATCGCACAGTGTCTTGCCTTGTATGTGGCCTCGCTGACACGGACAGCATTCTGCCGCCTTTCCCTGCCTGAAACATAAAACAACGCTCTGAAACCTTATCATCAATTTCAGGAGGCCCAAGCCTTTAGTCAAACTTTCCTCAGCACCACACTAAAGGGAAACATTGACCTCACCCACACGATGCCAGACAGGGTTGCCTTAACAACAGCTTTTTAAAAACAACCACAACTGCATGGATACATGCAACACATTCAGCATAAGACATATACCATGGTGTCAAAGACTGTGGTAAGATGTTCACAGGAAACCACATTTAGTTGGTATTGACAGATCACACTAAAGGCATCATGTGACTTTCTTGGCATTGACTTACTAAATTGTAAACCAGTTTTATAGGTTAGCGTGTGGTGCAAACAATGGCAGTTGTGGTTTATTCAACAAGCATGGTAAAGCAAAGCATAGCTTAATATAGCATGTGAACCAGGTCTACAATTTAGCATGTTGATTCAAGTCAT